CTTCGTACTATAACTCGCAATTCTTTGTTTAAGAAAATGTAATGAGTTTGGCTACTTATTTCTTCGTCAGTACAGCAGACCTGTGCGATTACTATCAGATATGTCCCGCCGGAAGGTACGGTAAATGAGGTAACTGCCGAATCCAGGCTTCCAAGGCGTTGGAAGGTGTCTTCTACTGCATCGTCGTCTACCTGGACATTTATCAGAAACATCTGCTTCACAGACGACTTATTCAAAAATACTTCCGTAATTTTTGAACTGAAGATTGAGAACTTTACTTTATATCGGTAATAAATTGAAAAAAATACTTACACCATGTTATCAAATAAAGGCGCGACGCTGTAAAATGTGTACACAAATCACTTTTCTTCTAAACAAACTTGAAACTTTCGTCGGCAGGGCGAAATTGAACAATTTCTGTAGTCTTATTGGCTGTAAAGTTGCTAATATTGAAGTACGCCAAGGTCCTAGTATACACAAGAGTGGGGATAAATAAGAAAAGATTGTAATAATCTAATTGGTTCCCAAATGACTACGTGAAACAATTTAAAGTGTACATACAAGTATAATTTTTTTCGTTTCCGTTCACTATTACTCAAAATAGGCTTCGAATGATTCTATCTCAATATTCCGATTTTTTAATAGCTAAACAGTTGTTTATTTATGATAGTTTCCATGCTGTAGAAGATGTGAACAGAGGAATTAGATCCAGAAGCACTTTTGTGTCACGTAGTCGTGGATTAAATATGTGTTTCAATGCGCGTGTGAAATAGTCCCTCCTTTATAACATTTTTCAATTGTAATGAGTTCTGGAAGCTCGGTATACAGTGTGTCCAAGATAAGAATAAACAGCATGGGGAAATCGGTCGGTTAACTTAGAAAAAAGTTGCGTAGTTTAGGGTTTAGTAAAATGATGTCTAAAGATTCTGAAATTTCGATCAGTTCTAAAGATTTTCGAAATTAACCATATTAGTTCTTCCTCATAGAAACTTTATAATATGTACAAGACGGTGCCCACTGTGACGTTTCGTCTGAGAAATCGTTATCAACTTCATATTTTTATATGGGCCGGAAAAAAGTACATACTGTATTGATTATCATATTTCATTACGAATAGAATGACGTATGACACAATATGATTCTTTATTAGGTATGCCATTCTTTATTAGGGAACCATCAGTGAATTGTTGTGGCATTTTGTCAAAGCCTACTACACCAAAATGTTAAAAATTTAATAACAAATAACTTAAATAATAAACAATGTTTAACAGTTTGCTATAGTCGCTACCTAGAACCCTCTTAGAGAACTTAGAACTCTCGAGGGACTACTGATAACAATAATTAAAACTCAAAACTTTACTTGAAAAGAATCTCAAGTATTTCTGTGGTATCTTAAATGTCCCATCACGTGATTACGAAAAGTTTTAGAATGGTCTCGAATCGATACCTCGCATTTGAACAAGTCCTTTATGACATTTTCAAAAATGTAGAAGGGTACTATATTGTAAGCGCCTCGTTTGCCAGTCCGGTGGACAATGGATCTTCAATTAAAAGTTATCGATTCCTCTAGAATATTGTTGTATGCCCAAGAAAGTGAAAATTATTATTATATGAAGTTCAAATTTTACAATTTTGCTTCTATAAAAATCTGCTTATTGCTTGGAAGGATCCAAAATTGCAATTCTTATGGCAAAAATGAGCTTTTTATTAAAACATTAGTCGTGTAAAATAAGTAGTTTGTTCCTTTTTACAAGCTATAGTTTAGGTGGTGGCAAGAGTGGTGGCTTTGCTTTTTTTTTTATTGATTTGTATATATAATTTACCTGGAATTCATACAACATTTTTGAAATATGTCTTATCGCTTGGTATGGGTGTATGTTTTGCACGGAACTAAATTTATATTTCATCCGTCACAATATGCTCCCTCACGAGACGCTATGCGCTATTTGAATGGAAATATCGTATTAAAATCATCGTAGTGTCTTTGAAATTGATTAGAGCGTAATTTCGTGCACTTTTCATTATTGTAAAGAAAACCAAAGAAATCTTGAGCAGTTTTTGAGGTAACGAGGTGAATCGGCACTGCCACCAAAGCCGAAGCTGCGTTTTCGTGTTGAGTCAAATTATGCCATCAATATTTAAACATTTTACGAAAATAGTCCTTTGAATTGTTACCACCCGTACGTTAGTAAAGGGAAGTATTGCAGTGGGGTAAAAATTCCCCACGTTTTTTACGGAAATACACGTTTTCAAGCACCAGGAACCCGAACCAAACAAAATTTTGATATCGGTCCGTTTATCGATCTTCCGGTCTGTGTGACTTTACACTAACTTCCGGCTAAAGGGATGAACCGATTGGAACCAAATTTGGTACACATATTCTTGACATAAAAGACTGAAAAGCTTTTGGGCAGAATCCCGCATGCGCAATTATGTTAAACTGTCAATCATTGATAGTGCAGGGGTTAAGAGCCAAAATAGGTTTCAACCTTGCATTTTGTGATAACCTTATGAAACTTTCAGAGGATGTTCTAGACACCCTAAGGTTCAGTTTCAGCTATGCCGCCACCCCCGCACTTAAGCGCAAGGTAGCATTTCAATACCCGCCCATGAAATGGGCCAAAAATGTATGTATGAATTATTAAATACCCAGGGAGAATTTATTTAGGGTTCTACGCACCATAATTAATAAGAAAAAGTGTTTTCTCGAGAAATTTTGGTGCAGTCGATTTTTGGTAAAAAAGGAAGGTTATACACTGCCTTTTTTGAGGCCCTAAAAAAAATTGTCTCAGATCGACCCGGAAAAAAATTTTTCTTATAGAATGTGGCCTGTAGAATCCATAATTTCAAACAGTTCCTAGATTGGGCTACTAGTTCAAAAGTTACAGCCCTTTGAATTTTCTTTCGAAATTGGTTCTAGTCTATAACTTTTGATTGAGAAGTCTGATCGAAAAAGTACGAATTGTACATCGAATTCAATCAAATTTGGTGGGTACATTTCTAGACAAAATCATTTGTATTAATTTTAGAGGCATATATGCCTTAATGTTCGACTTGTAAGCAGCAGAATTGAGACATAAAATTGAGAATACAAACTAATAGATGAGAAGGGGACTCAAGCTTTTTTTTGGACGTGAAAAGCGTCGCAATTTATTAAAGTTAAAAAATAAATAGTGAAAATTAAGTGGTTCAATTAAGATACCAGTCGTCCACTTTTTAGTTGAAAATTTGTTTCACAGAGGACTGCTTCTTATCGCTCGATGTGACTACTTTTTGCACGGGACTAAATTCATCTCATCCGTCACGAGACGCTTCAGCTTTCATAATATACATGTATTTACTTATATTACTCATCGACTTATTAACGAGCTCCTAGCGAGTTCATGATTTTGGACTTTCCGTCCGTTCATCCTTTTGTGGATAAGATAACTTCCGAACGGTTTCGAATTCTGTTTTCAGTATTTTGTATATCATCACCGAAGGAAGAACTGATTAAATGTTCAGTGGCCCAGGAGCTCGTTTGCTATATTTGTTACAAGTTTATTTCTAGATCGCGGTAAAAAGAAGGGAGCGAAGAAGTGCGAGACAAAAAGAAGCAGTCACTTCTGTCGGCAGTCACCAAGTGCAACATAGCTGCTGATTTATTCTCAGTTACGATACTCAGCACTCAGAGCTTGACCCAAAATTAACTAATTTGTTGCGTCACTGACTTTCACAATCATGAAAATAAACTTTTCCCTCGAAGTTTCCTTAAAAAATGAAATCATCATAATATGTAGATCTATAAACAAATATCAATTCTTTTCAATAGCTCTGTATCTCGCTCTATATTGACAACATTAACATCAACTTAAAATGTTCACTGAAATTCATTGGAATTCTTTAGAAGTGTAATGAATTTTTTGGAATTCATTTGCAGTTTTGCAAGTCTGATGGAATTTTTTTGGAATTTCGCACTAAAAAATAGAAAATCGTTTTCTGGTAGAGGGTTTTTATTTCGACTAGAGTTCCGGACAACCCTTCAATAATAAATTTTAAACTTTCCGTAATGAAGTCTGTGGTAAACCTTACAATACAAGAGGCTTTCTTATATTTAAATTGAGAAAGGAGTATTTATCGGTCACTCATATCGTTTTCGGGATATTTTACGTGCGATAATTAAGATGGCGACCCCTATCATTTCTTTCTTGTTTCACGATACTAAAACCTACGAGATCGAATAATAAATGTTGGAGCAAAACCATGTTGCACAAATAGAAACCATGTAGACAGATTCGTTTATACTGTATCAAAATTTTCGCGAACAAAATTAACTCCTCCACCCCTCCGCACACGGTCAACTGAAAGCATTGTCGAACTGGTTGCGTAGAATCGTTCTTACTGCCCCGAAACGGTTTCAGTTGCGAGGTTTAGTCGTTTAGTCCAGTCAGTAGAGATTTTTGCCCTACAAAAGATGGCGTCTTTTTCTACAGCAATTCTGTTTGTGTTTTGTCTGTCCGTCAGTTCCTCGTCTTATTCGAGGAAGAAAAGAGACAGTAATGTCAAACCTTCGCCAATCGATTTCTAAGAGTTCAAAATCAAGGATGAGTGCTATTGAACATGGAGACTTCAGAAGCCCAAGGCATGTTCGAAAATTGGATCCTTAGCAATTTTAGACATTATGAACACTGTAGGGATTATATAGTTTAAATCGGTCTAATAACATAAAATTTAGTTAGTATCAATGTGTGCATCCTTTTTCAAGGGCGTCAGTCGAAATGATGTTCAGATTTGAAGGAGAAACGTGTCGTGGGTGCACATTGTTTCATTAATATGAATAAAGACTACCCAATACAAAAACATCTTAGTAAAAGGGATAATTGATTCTCCTTACTTTTCTGTACGAAATATACCTTTTAGCATAGACTATACTTTTAGTTGTATCTTTCACTAAGGGTATAATTAGTCAATGATTGCATTAAACTCTGATTTCGTTATTCAATGATTAAACAGAATGCCTTAAAAACTTTATTTATAAATGAGAACAGGAGTCATGATCACGTACGCCACATCATGATATTTAATACTTAAGTCGCAGTTGTTCGTCGTTTGCAAATCCAGACAAATGTCTTTCCATGTACTTCCAGACACAATCAGGAGTGCCGAATACGATTCGAAAAGCCACGACGCCAGCACTTTTTACAATCACTCGTAGTTCTTTATTTATGAATACGTAATGAGTTTTGCGACTTATTTTTTCATTACAAGAAATGTACCCAATTACTAACATATATCGCCGGCCAGGAGGTACAACATACGAAGTAACTGCTGAATCCACAGTTCCGAGGCCTTCGAAATCGTCTTCTATTGTATCCTCGTCTACATGAAGATGCAGCAGAAACATTTTCCTCGCAGACCACTTGTTCAGACTTATTTCCGTAATTTTTGAACTAAACAGTGTGAACGTCACTATAATTGTAATAAATAAAAAAAAATACTTACACCATTTTTGCCAGTAAAGGCGTGACGCTGTAAAATGTGTACACAAATTGGTAAATTATTTCGTCAATCGTCTGTGCTACGAAGTTACTCACTACAACTCTAAATGGGAATTGAATGTACTGTACTCCCCCTCATTCCCCACCACTTGACTCTTAAATAGATGGTATAGTATGGAGGGGAGACGTTCGAAAGGACTAGATTTGGTAAATAACAATTTTTTTTTCAGGACGAATCTATTGATTCTTCCTACTCCTTAAGTTTTATTTCCTTGAATGTTTTAGATTCCTTCGACTTCCCAGTTTACAAATTTTTTGTTCTACCGTTTTCTCTCATTTTCTTTTTAACTTTCAAATTCCTCAGCTTTTTTCAAATTCTTTCGGTTATTCATATTCTTCAAATTCTTATCATTTTTTCGATTGTTTGCCTTTTTTTCATTTATCAAATTCTTAAAATTCTTCGTTCTAGTTCTTTTATTGATATAAATTTATCTCCTTTTATTTTTATTTATTCGTACTACATCATACTATTTAGATTCTATGGTGTCTTCTGATTTTTCACATCCTTAAAACTATTCAAATTCTTTGGAATCTTAAAATACAATTTCCCATTCGATCGATTTCTTTCAATTCTTTTCTTCGAATTCTTCGTAATTGCGTCAGATTCCTCTAATTATATTGTTTACAAGTCCACATACAGTTCTCCCTCTTTGTTGAATTCTTTATATCTTGACTTTTTTTCTTCTTCTTGTTTCTCTCTTCATCTCTACCTTATTTTTTTTATTGCATGTTCTTCCCCTCATTCCCTTATCTCTGTTTTACTACTGATCGTTTTCGCTCTTCTCTTTATGTATGTAAATTGGTTCTTTCATATATGTATTCACTCATTATCCTATTCTTTATTTTCTCTTAGTTATTTTCTTCTATTGATGATTCTATGATATGTTAATTTAATATACCCACTTAACTTAAAGTTAACGATGGTTTTACTTATTTAGGTACTACTTTTATTTTGCATTTCAAATGGGAAGAAACGTGGACTAATTTTCGGTAAAAAGTGTAAAAAGCGACACAAAGATGAGGATTACACTAAAACGCATATTATGATTTTTCCAAATGGAGCGACGATGCGGGTTTTAAGCTCAAGCTCTAGCGATTTTTCAGACTTCATATCGGAAGCAACCGAAGGTAACGGATGAAGAAATCGGTAGGGAAATATATTTGACCATTAGCGCAAGCCTTTAGCAAAAAACTCGAGATCAATACCCATTCTCTAGTAAAAAGTAATTTTGAAGAATTGGCGACCGGATGAACAAAGCGTTTGCAATAGCTCCTTTTCCTACTGGGAAATCGAGTGGATGGAATTAATTCACGCGTACGGAAACCAAAAGTGAATTCAATTTCACCAAATGATTTGTATATCGTGTATAATACAAAAAATTCACCGTTGGAATGTCCAGGGGCGGACTGGCACGGGGGGGGGGGTGGCGATTGCCACCTAGCCTGTAGATCATAATGGCCCGTTGGAAATTTATAAGTATGTGATGTATTTAGTTTCTTGCACTATTAATAAATTATTAACACGTTTCTCTAATTGGGGTTGATGTTAGGTTGTTAAAAAATTCTATTTTTTGAAGTGTTTTACAATGAATTTATCATTTTTTGTCGTAGTATTTTGAAAGTATATTTGTATATTTTGTTACTTTTAATTATCAGCTGCAATTTAAAAAAAACTGTATGGTAATTGATTAACTTTTGAACTAGTAGCCCAATCTTGGAACTGTTTGAAATTATGGATTCTACAGGCCACATTCTATAAGAAAATATTTTTTTCGGGTCGATCTGAGACAATTTTTTTTTCGAGGCTCAAAAAAAGGCAGTGTATAACCTTCCTTTTTTACCAAAAATCGACTACACCAAAATTTCTCGGGAAAACATTTTTTCTTATTAATTTGGGTGGGTAGAATCCAAATCAATTCGTACTTTTTCGATCAGACTTCTCAATCAAAAGTTATAGACTAGAAACCAATTTCGAAAAAAAATTCAAAGGGCTGTAACTTTTGGACTAGTAGCCCAATCTTGGAACTGTACCAAAAATCGACTACACTAAAATTTCTCGGGAAAACACTTTTTCTTATTAATTTGGGTGCGTAGAATCCAAATCAATTCGTACTTTTTTGATCAGACTTCTCAATCAAAAGTTATAGACTAGAAACCAATTTCGAAAAAAAATTCAAAGGGCTGTAACTTTTGAACTAGTAGACCAATCTTGGAACTGTTTGAAATTATGGATTCTGCAGGCCACATTCTATAAGAAAATTTTTTTTCGGCTCGATCTGAGAATTTTTTTTCGGGGCTCAAACAAAGACAGAGTAAGTATAACCTTCCTTTTTACCAAAAATTGACGACACCAAAATTTCTCGGGAAAACACTTTTTCTTATTAATTTGGGTGGGTAGAATCCAAATCAATTCGAACTTTTCCGATCAGACTTCTCAATCAAAAGTTATAGACTAGAAACCAATTTCGAAAAAAAATTCAAAGGGCTGTAACTTTTGGACTAGTAGCCCAATCTTGGAACTGTTTGAAATTATGGATTCTGCAGGCCACATTCTATAAGAAAATTTTTTTTCGGCTCGATCTGAGAATTTTTTTTCGGGGCTCAAACAAAGACAGAGTAAGTATAACCTTCCTTTTTACCAAAAATTGACGACACCAAAATTTCTCGGGAAAACACTTTTTCTTATTAATTTGGGTGGGTAGAATCCAAATCAATTCGAACTTTTCCGATCAGACTTCTCAATCAAAAGTTATAGACTAGAAACCAATTTCGAAAAAAAATTCAAAGGGCTGTAACTTTTGGACTAGTAGCCCAATCTTGGAACTGTACCAAAAATCGACTACACTAAAATTTCTCGGGAAAACACTTTTTCTTATTAATTTGGGTGCGTAGAATCCAAATCAATTCGTACTTTTTTGATCAGACTTCTTAATCAAAAGTTATAGACTAGAAACCAATTTCGAAAAAAAATTCAAAGGGCTGTAACTTTTAAACTAGTAGACCAATCTTGGAACTGTTTGAAATTATGGATTCTGCAGGCCACATTCTATAAGAAAATTTTTTTTCGGCTCGATCTGAGAATTTTTTTTCGGGGCTCAAACAAAGACAGAGTAAGTATAACCTTCCTTTTTACCAAAAATTGACGACACCAAAATTTCTCGGGAAAACACTTTTTCTTATTAATTTGGGTGGGTAGAATCCAAATCAATTCGTACTTTTTCGATCAGACTTCTCAATCAAAAGTTATAGACTAGAAACCAATTTCGAAAAAAAATTCAAAGGGCTGTAACTTTTGAACTAGTAGCCCAATCTTGGAACTGTTTGAAATTATGGATTCTACAGGCCACATTCTATAAGAAAATTTTTTTTCCGGGTCGATCTGAGACAATTTTTTTTCGGGGCTCAAAAAAAGGCAGTGTATAACCAGGGGCGCACTGGCCCGGGGGGGCGGGTGGCGATTGCCACCTGGCCTGTAGATCATAATGGCCCGTTGGAAATTTATAAGTATGTGCTGTATTTAGTTTCTTGCACTATTAATAAATTATTAACACGTTTCTCTAATTGGGGTTGATGTTAGGTTGTTAAAAAATTCTGTTTTAATTGAAGTGTTTTACAATGAATTTATCATTTTTTGTCGTAGCATGAAAGTGCTGAAATACAATGATAGGCGACGCACCTCGTGTGGATTGTATATTTTGTTACTTTTAATTATCAGCTGCAATTTAAAAAAAACTGTATGGTAATTTATTTTGGAGAAAGGAGTACTTGTACTAAAATGTTTTTGTGGCGCACCTCAGAGCTAACCCCCCCAAAATCATTACTACACTAATACTTTAATGGCCCGTAACCTATGCAATTCCACCTGGCCCGCAGTTACCCAGTCCGCCCCTGGGAATGTCAGTAGTGGATATCGCTATCATTTTGTAAATCATTGTACGTAATTAACTTTAACCTTCCCTCCAACCCCTATTTTACAAGATCCATGTCTGGCTACTTTCTGATGGAATTATTACCTACTGATCCGAAGAAAGCTACGATATGCCTTTATTAAAAAAAATGGTCAATTGCATTTTGATTCCTTATTTGTTTAAAGATAATGGACGTTAATTAATATTTGGACTATTTTTCCGCATACATCGCATAATATTCCATAATGTTGTAAGTATTAAGTTTTACAAGACTATTCAAAAAATTGTTATTTGTTTTATTCTTTGATCAATATGAGTCACCTAATTTTCACGGGGGAAGGGAGAAATAATACTTGTTTATTACCGGCTCAAATTAAAACATTAAGTTAGAATTATTCTACTCCTGTTTCATGTTATAGATAGTGAACAGAACACTGCGAACCTTTTAATTTTAGGTAGTCATGAACTCGTGACATATTCTTTTTCAATTTATCCCCCTCTCCTGCATATACCAGACGGGCGCCTTATATCAAGTCAATCCACCATATAGTGCAACTAATAAAGCTAAAGAATTTGTTCAATTGCGTTTTGTGCGAACACGATTGCGTTTGTGTACTTAGTGACATTTACAGTGTTGCGCCTTTTACTGGATAACATGGTGTAAGTATTCTTTTTCAATTTGTTACCGCCATATTGACATGCAATGCTTCAGTTCCAAAATTACGGAAATATTTCTGAATCAGCCATCTGAGGAGCAGGTATTTCTGCTGCATCTCCAAGTGGACGATGATACGGTAGAGCCCAATTTCGAAAGCGAAGAAGATCTCGATTCGGCAATTACCTCATTTACCGTACCTCGTGGCGGATTATATTTGCTAATAATCGCATGCGTTTGCTGTACCGAAGAAGAAGTAAGAAGCAAAACTCATTATGTTTTTATAAATAAGGAGTTGCGGGTAATAGTGAAAAGTGCTAACGTCAGGTCTTATCGTATCATATTCGGTACTCATGATAATGTCTGGAATTATATGCAAACCCATTTGGCTGAGTTTTCAGGCGACGATTTGGCGGCTTAATTATTTGGTTATGTTTTAAATATCACTTAAATTATGTGATCGTATACCTAACTGATTT